TCTTTCCTGCCTATGCAGGGGGTCGGACTCGATGATCTATTGAGGTCCCTTCCGACCCTAACATCTATGAATCTATATGTGCCCACATTTTCTATCCTTCACAGATTGATATGGAGCATCAGGTGTAAACAGAGCACCTAATACTTCCTCTACCCTGAACTCTGCCATTTTCTATCTACTTTAATGAGAGTTACTGTAAGCACCAACAGGGACTCCAGTTGCAGTAGGATTACCATGTGTCCACCAGAGGGCAAACAATAGCTATTTTTCACCAGCAGCATTTTCCACGTTATGAAGCATCAATTAAGTCAAAGAACACATTATAGATGAGTGCATATAAAGAACTCTGATCAAGTGCAGAAAAATCAGATGGTTAACATGACCTGGCTGCCAATTCAATGCATTAGGATACATGGCAGAAAAGTCATGGTATAGGCAGTAGGTACAGGTGATTCACTAATCCAGAGGATATACATCTATTTTTAACCAGCTAGACGGATTTTCCTCAGGGTCAGAGTTTGAAAAAATGGTCTATCCTGAATTAGAACCAAAGATCAAATCTCAAAGACTTCAGGGAGCCAAGAACATTCCAATCAGAGCAAAACTCATCTTTGTAACATTTTCTTTCCTTTCCTTTAACATTTCAGGTAGCTCTCATAATCAGAATCTCTCAGCTCTCAGAATCTCAAAACAAAAAGGTTATTTCCACCAGAGAAGACCTTTTCCATTTTGAAAATACCATGTTTGGACAATTATGAAAGTTGTTCCTAGTTCTTCAAAATGGGGAACTTTTGAAGGTCAACCCTTTCCAGAAAACAGCAACGTAAGCATTTTTCAACGAAAATCCTTTCCCTCTACTTCCCTAACAACATATAAGCCTGAACACTAATTAAACATTGTGTCTGCAAGGAAATCCAAGAAAGAAACACTTCTGCACAGGCAGGTGGTGGACTGCAGGGCTCTGCCATCATTCACTTTGCTAATCTATCTGGATTCAGCAGATCTGACTGCCTTTTGCCAAGTGCTAGGGAAGCATAAATTCACCCTGGTGCAGGAAAGGCCTGCACACTTGTATAGGAAGTGAAGACTGGTATTTTCAGAGTACCCAAAAGTGACTTGGGTAGAATTTTCTATGGCATCTAAATGGGAGCTAGGTACCTAAATCCCACTGAAAGTCATATTGAAATTGTGTAATTTAGCACACCGTTTGGGAAAGGAGGGGACCTAACTCCCCCAAATTCTTTGAAAATACCACCTCACACCCTGCAGGTGCTATAATGACATGTTTAGGTTCAGTACCCAATATCAAGGTGCACTGCATTAGCATTCAGAGTAAAAGGCCAACCAAATGAAAATGAGGCTAGACAGAAATGACTCTAAAAAATCCTATAAGGCACTTATAGACATGCTCTGGGGTGCGGTGGAGCATTTTAATGTTAGAACAGCTCTCAGGAGCCACTCTAATTAAAATGCCTGCAGCATCTTGTGTATTCAGGGCTCTGCACTTCAAAATGGCAGTGGGGGTGCTTTAACTAAAGCTCATTCAACATGCTTTAGTTAAAGCACCCCTGCCACCATTTTGAAACATGAGGGTGCTGAATACATGAGCCGCTGCAGCACGCTGGAGTGTTTTGATTAGAAAGCTCCAGCAGACTGGATTAATCAGAACCCATCGGACCATGTGTAAAAGTAACCAGAGATTTTGCCAATGAAATTGACTGTTTTTAAAGCTGATCTCTTAACACTTTGGGTACCTGTACACAAGGCCAGAGGCTTAATTGAGTCTGCTGCAGCGTGGTAATTACCGTGCTCCAGCCAGCCTGTGTGTCTCATGTATCATTGACCCCGTGCTTCAAAATGGTGGTGGGGGCGCTTTCTCAAAAACTCGTTTGATAAGCTTTAGATAAAACACGCCAGCCGCCATTCTGAAGCACAGGGATACTGATACATGAGATGCTCTGGGTGCTTCAATTAGAGCAGCTCTTGGAGCCCTGAGCACTTTTAGCCACCAAAAAAGCTAATTTTTGCAAAGACAGAGACACTTTGGGTGGCATTTTGGTTAGACTCCCCCACAAGTGATAACTTTTTGCTTCTTTTGTCTTCCACACCTATCCCCATCCCAACTGTTTGCTGTTTTGTTCTCTACACAACTTTCCAGCCAACCCCAGCTTTTGTATCACTGACCTAAAAGTTATAAGGTCCCGTCTGTCTGCCTGCCACGGTGAACTAGCAAAAAATGGTCTGCTTCTTCACACCGGCTTCTAAAGCTCAACAGACATGTGATCTGGTACTCACATCATAGGTGACTTCTTCGACTTGGTCCTTCTCCATCAGGAAAACCTTGGCGACTTGTTCACATGGCCCCTGTAGGATGCGGGCAATCAGGGGGTAGTCTGTAGTCTTCAGCTTCTGCTTTTCTGCCAGAGCCCAATAATAAAGAAGAGCAATTAGTATGCAGATTATATGGAGAACAGAGAAGGTGCCATTTTTAATACTGACAGCTCGCCTTAAAGATCATAACAGGACATATGCTAAACCCTGTTTGAGTGAGCTGCTGTAAGCAGAGGATTTCTTGCAGACTTACCTCCGCTGGTGTGGACAATATACAATGCAAATTCTTCAGCAGAGTTTTCAATCTGAACAAAGACAACAACAGCAACAAAACAGAGATCAATATACGGCTGGATTATAGTCAAGAAAAGCAATTTCAGAGCATCTGGAATCATTCTGAGGATTCTTGTCGACAAGAACTCTGTCCATTTAAGAGATAGGTAAACACAGGACAGAGCGGGGCACAGTCAATTAGCCCTTTAATTGACATTTATTATAGTAGCATCCACCACCCTCAACTAAGAAAGGTTTCGTTGTGTTAGGCCCAATATAAGGGGCAGCCAGAGATGCAGCAATTTGCCCAAGGTCACTCAGCAAGCCAGGCAGAGCATTCAGCTCTAATGATCATTAGGGCACCCTGACCCTTTTTATGGTCCCTTCCAGGCTTCAGGGGTAAGTGCCAGCCTCCTGCTTTAAACACTACACACGCTCCTCTCCCAAGGAGCTGTGCTTAGCTTGGCATGCAGCAGGAGTCAAACAGGTTGGTCTAACACACAGGCTCTCTCAAAATGAATCAGTAAGTGAGAGAAACCGAAATGAGACTGGTCAGATGAGAAAATTTAGCAGAAAAAACAACTTGAGACACAGCTCGACTTGCCTTAAATTTGTTCAACAGCAGTTTGAGGACTTGAGGAGTTGTCATTGTGCTGTTTATCCTGACATTGGTAACGGAGCCATAGGCTGGCGTGAACACAGAGGTCTAAATTGGGAAAGAAAATTTAGAATATTCAGATTACACTTCCCCACCTCCCTCCAGAGGGAAATTTGCACCTGGTTCCCTCTATAGATATTCTAGGCCCTTTGTTAGTCTCACTTTAAAGGCTTTCAGTGATGCACAGGCATGCTACCCTCTACACTTACAAGATGCCCACAAGGAAGAGCACTCTGCAGAGCTGCTATCCAGCCTGGCACTCAGGGCTGACACTCAAATCGTGACCACTCTGCTCTCTATTCTGTGACCCAAATGACTCCTGACCTCTCCCAGGCCCCAGTGCAAGGCCCTCACTTTGTGGTTGTAGAAGTGCCCATTGATGGAAAAGCGATGGCGCTTGATCCGCCGCTGCTCACTCGGGGTGCGAAAATTTCCCCTGCGGCGCACACCCACGTCGCTTCTGGTCCTCATCAGCTGCGGTGTCTCCTCCGGCTGGGATTTTAAGTCATTGACATCTGAAAGGGACAGAAGCAAGGATGGTTTTGTCACGCAGGACAGTCATGCACAGGAAAGAGACATCCATAGAGACAAACACATCATTGCTGCTTCAACTGCAACGGTGTGGGGGACAATAGTTCTCTCTTGGTCCTCTGTTTGCACAGCACCCAGCACAACAGGGCATTGGTCCACAACTGTACCCTGCATGCAACATTATGGGCTACTCAATGCCCATGTACCCAAGTAAAACGTGACAGTCTTAGAAAACTGTTTTTAACTATGTCTAGCAAGATGCACATTTTTTTTACTCCAAGACCAATTGAAACTAGTGTGCTAAGATCCTAATTTACACTGATTCAACTACTAAGCTGCAGCCCTGCTCTCTGATGCATTGATGGAGCCTAATAAATCAGAATTACTGTGTCAATCCATACAAGAGCCAAGACCCCCTTTCTTATGAAGCACCTTATTTGCTTTTTCATAATTTACCTCCACCCCTCCCCCTCCCCTTGCCCTTTTTTAATGAGATCAGGAAAACCAGACCAGTGCTTCAGATCTCTGCATGACAACTGGATCAGACCCAAATGATAACAACTTGCCTGATCATCTATTTTTAATGAACCATTTGAACTAGAACTTAGATTTTTTTTTGCATTCAAAGCACACCTGTACCAACAAATTTCCATCATGCTCCATTCCAGACTCATGCTGCAGGGCGCAGTGACTAGGCCTTCAGGAGAAGCCTTGCATTTTCACTACATAGTCATTTTTAGGGGCATGTGTGGCCACTTAAAGCAAGGCTCTTATATTTCCAAGTTAATACAATAATGTTGTGTGCAACGTGTTTTATAAACTAGTAACAGTTAATCATACGGGCAGTTTCTAAGAGCTGGCACTGAAATAGGCTCAGATAGACCCTCAGTGCCCCAGGCAAGACAGGGAAGTACCATGCACTTGGACAGGTGGGGAAATGAAGCAGAAAGGTTGAAAACCCTATCCACAGGGCCACCTGGAATTTGTAATTTGACCACCTGCAATGTAAAGTGCTAGCATGAGCTGCAGGTACTCAGTCATTCTGGGAAGTAATGTGCCCAAAGCCAGAGAGAATGACTGAGCATGAGTCAGGATTTGAGCAGAGCACCAGAAAGGCCTAAAAAGGTATAACAATCACCCAGATAGACTTGAGGCCTGCACAAGTGGTTTAATGTTGACAGCACTGTCAAGAACTACTCTGGGCTCCGTATCCGCCCCCAGAGACCTGGGCATCAGCTTGTCTGCCTCAAAGGGCACCTCCAGCATCCCCCCTCCTAGCTAACCCCACACAGGGGCATCATCAGTTCAACACCAGGACAAACACTACCGGAAATGGACAAGCATGAAACCTGGACTCTGTTCCTGGCTCAGTCACTGAGCTATTGGGAGAGACCCTCGGCAAGTCTCTTTCCCCTTCTGTGCCTCTATTCCAAGGGCAGTCTCCTATCCCAATAATGGCCCAGCCTTGCCATGCTTGGTTGAGGACAACTGATAGGCCACAGCAGGAGGAAGACAGGCAGCGAAACCGAGCATGCTAGGGGTTAAAAAGCACGCCTAAAGCAGAGACAGATCTCTTGCTCCTCTTTAAACAGGAAAGGCCCTTCAGGCTGAACTCCAGGCGTGCACACACACAGACGGATGGGAAGAGAAAAGCCCTCCTTAGAAATGTTTATTTCCCCATGGTAACGGCATTTAACAATGGCTCCTATTATTCCTCTTTCAAGCAGGGAGTGAGGGACACACGAGGGGTGGGTGGGAGCTGCCAAAGGAAAGGGAAGCACCAGGACAAATGGAGATTGTTACTCAATGGCTCTTGTTTTCATCGCTTTCCTCTGGGGTTTTGCTCCGAGCTTTTCCGAGGCACTTGGATGAAGTGAGACACTCCTGGGGCTCAAGGGGAGGGGGGCGGGGGGAAATGGGAGGAGTTCATTAATTGGCAGCAGCATGCTCATTGGGATTTTTACAGCAGGCAATTAGGGTTAGGACTTAACAAAAACTAGGGAGGAATACAGGATAGCCGCAGATTCAGGGGCACTGGAAGTTGAGGGAGCCAGGGGAAGCTGTAGCAGAATATGTTCTGTTATCCCCATCCTTCCACGTGCAGCCCCAGCCCTTATTCTGTACACGCCACTTAGGAGCGGCTTGGCAACCTTGACTGTCAGCTTTCCGACCTGCACAGCCTGCAATATAGACAGATGAATAGCTTCATATAGGACAAGCCAAAGGCAGTGCTTGAATCCGCTGGACATTTTTCAGACGAAATTAAAAGAAGGCAAAACTTGCAAGCATGAGCCATTCCCCCTCTTGAGATGGGCAATCAAGCCAAGTAGCCAGTCCACTTTCCCCATCTTACCTGCTCCACTTTCAGGACCCTCAGCATCTGTCATAGCATCTACATCTGTTATCTGAATATCTGGTAAGGTACTTGGCTTCACTACCGACCTAATAGAGACAGATATACTGTTATTATGTAGAGGTGGAAAGTAGCTTGAAACTACTGTTTTTTCTTAAGACTTTTAAGAACTGATACAGTGAGTTTATTTTCTCATATATTACGGAGACTCATAGAAGCAGCTGTCCTACCCAGCAGGCACCTCTGTTAGAAATCATCCTCAGATCCAATCAAGGCATACATTCAGAAAGAGATAAGCTTGCACAAACATAAGCAAGGCGGCAATGCACCTTGCGCAAAAGCCACAGGCCTCCTGCTGGCCCTCCACATACCGGGGAATTCTCTCCCCACTTATTTTCAGCTTTGCACAGGACTGAGCAATAAATACACTTGGTGCCAGAAAGACCGTGGCTGAACTTTTGGATCAAAGGCAAAAGTTAGTTTTATATCTGACAAGTTGGTTAGGTTTCAGCTAGACTCAGATTAATCTGGAAAGTTGTTCAAAGCTTTTGTCAGCTACTGGGCAGAGGAGACAGAACTTCTGGCTCCTTGGCCTGGAACTGCAGTATGGAGAAATGTCAGGCTTTTAATCCTATAAAATATAATACATGAGAAGAAAGCCGAAATCTCCCCTTAGGTTTAACACAGCTATTTAATTCACCTCTGTGCATAGGCAGATAATGCCTACGAACAACTTCTGTCCTGCAAACACGGGAGTCATAACAGACTGTATTTACATTGAATGTCACAGGTCAATGCTGTCAGACATACATGGAGCAGTCACAGTGTCCAGTAGATAGGGCACCAGACTGGGAGTGGGGAGACCCGAGTCCTACTTTTGGCTCTGCCACTGATGTGGACTGCAATGCTGAACAGGCTATTCTGTCAGTCCCTACTATCGTCCTTTGCCAGCTTTGTCTATTCAGACTGTAAACACTTTGGAGCGTGGACTGTCCCTTGCTAGAAGACTGTCAACTGCCCAGTAAAGATTGGTTGGTGCCTCTAGGTACTACTGTAAGCCACGCAGCAACGTGTCCAGTTAACACAGAAATCAGTGTCCAGAGATCTTTAGCATGGTTTTTCAACACAAGCACCTTGTATCTTAATGCACAGCTAAAAGGAACAGTTTGTTCATGGTTAGACTAAGAGAGTCAATAACAAGTCGCTCGATCTACCAGCTCAGTCAAATCCCATCATTTTAACAAGTCCAATAGCTAGGAAAATTCATCACCTATTTATTACTATATTGTAATTTTTTAATTGAATGTGAAAAGGGGAGAGAGAGACATGCAGACACAATGTGCATTGTAATCCAGCTCCCCAGCCAGGGCTGTCTGGCATTTCTTATTGTCCCCCCCTTGTATTGCCCTCTAGTCCTCTCTAGTAGGTGTGGAGAAGCAGGCCTCTACAGTCACTTCACAGAAAAATGACAGGGATTTCTAAAGCCTGTTTTTCCATTTTCCAAAGAATTATGGGAGGCAGCCTATTCAACTTCACTCGAAAGTACCTTTTGACATGGCACTTTGTTTTGCTTTGGAAATTGCCGTCGTCACCTCATGTCTCAGTATCAAACTAGTCAGTCAGGTGAAGCAGGCTAGATTTGGTGTTTTTCAGCCGTGATTTTTTTCCATCATATCTCTGATTCTTTTATAGGGACCAGGGGGAAACTTGATAACGCTTCCCTAAAATCTCCTTCCCTCCCTTTTTTGATTTTTCAGATGATTTGAACCAAGGGGAAAGTTTTGAACAAGAAGCTTTTGTTGAGCTTATTTACGTAAGTGAGTAGTTTGCAACAAATACATCATTATCTCATGCATCAAAAAGGGAGGGCAGATGTCTCACTTAAACATAGAGCCCGCAGCATATTATCCTACGTGAAATCTGCAGTGGCTTTCCTCAGCCCCACGACACACCTAACAGATAGTGTGGTCATACCAGAATGATGCGAAGAAAGTACTTTGGGGGTGCTGGGAACCTCCCTCCCTGATTTATACTTTTTTCTCTCCCCATGACATTTATTAAGTCATTCATGGTTTTTGAGGCCAGACAGGACCATTACATTGCCTACTCTGACCTCTTGTATAATACAATCCAGTGCATTTCACTGAATTGCCCCACATCAGTTTTCTTTGAGTACTATGCATCTTCTAGAAAGGCTAAAGCACAAACAGTTGTAGCATGGAACAAAGATATGGAGAGTGTTCATTGTAGACATGTTGATAAGTACTCTAAATTACTTGGCAATCTATTAACTTGAGATACAAAAAGTAGGTAAATGTATACCCTACAGTCTCATCTCCCCTAGGAAAACAGGTGGTTTTCTTTAAAAAAAACAAAACAAAACAAAAAAAACAACAACCCAACAAATTAGTTAGTGCATTGTTAAATCCTGCAGTGGACAAGGTAGTTTTCTAACATGCATCAGTACGCCAAAGTAAACATTAGCAGCTGTGCCTATGGAGTCTTATTTTCCCCACTTTTTGGCTTCTTTTGTTGACTTTGGAAAGGGGAGGTTTCAGTTTGGCCAGAAGGCAACCTTGTCACTCAACCTGCAGGGAAACTGAGGCAACAGCCAAATCTGATGGTGGGAAAATATGCCGTTTCATCGCGGGCCCAGTAAGAGGAAAGCTGCACTGATGTAACATATATTTCACATGGAAACTGCGAGAGCCAAGCTAGAAAAATAATTCTGTTGGCAAACTGAGAAATTAAAGACCTCTTTAGGGAGCAGATAAAATATGGGGTCAGTAAAACACACTGGCTGTAAAGAAAATTGGGGAAGTTCACTCTGCCATAAGTCTTCATGGGTTTGCGTCCCATGGTAGCTTTAGTTGTTTGTTTGTCTGTTTTTATTGAATACCAAATAAGGTCCACAAGTGCTGCAAGATGGGAATTCACAAGGTTAATAGCACTGGTGTCTAATGTATGTTTGCCAACTGACAGCAAAGAATAAAGTATCACCAACCAGCAGGTACACAGAGGGCTTTCCATCCCAGATTGCCAATGTCTATACACCAGGTTCTGAGTGATGCAGGGGCGAGTCATTTCACCTCCCCATGGTTCAGTTCCCCGCCCCTCATTTTGCCTGGCTTCTCCAGTTAGATGATTATTTCTTTACTACATCTTTGTACAACATCCAGAAAAGTATGGTTGTGAGCTTGGTTGGGTCTACTGTGATACCAATAATGCAAACACCTCACTAAAGCAAGCAGGCCAGCTCGAGCATGTGCCTGTTCTCCTTTGAGTGCACTGGCCATAAGCCCCATGACAAATACAATGTAGAACAGAGGTTCCCAACCACCGGGCCATGAAGGGTTGGCTGCCGAGTCGTGGCACAAGCCCCCCACTCGGACCCTCGTCTGTCTGTCTGGGTGAGCGTCTTCCGCTGCCAGCAGCCATGTGCAGGGTTAAAGCTGGGCAGCGGGGCAGCCCCGGGAGGGAGGCAGCCTGCTCTGTGTACCCTGTCCCACTCCTGTGCCAGTCCACAACATAAAAAAAAGTTTGGGAACCACTGGTGTAGAAGACACCCCCCATTAGCCTGCTCCTGTAATGGGACATCCTGTCCCCAGTGATTCAGTAGAATCCAGTGAATGTACAAACACGATGACTCCATGCAGACAAACTCTTACAACAGCACCTGCACTAAAGAGGAGGACCACAAACTGACCCATGTGCTCCCAGATTGCAGCCAGAGTGCCAAGAGGAAGAGGATGGAGGGGGCCGGATTCGCTGGTTGTCATCCTGCATCTGCAAACGAATAGGCCGGCGCAAGCCCCAGGAGATGTTCAGCAAACCCTCGACGATAAACTCGCCTTCCTCCTGCACAGCAAACAGAGACACATGGGAATGCCTCATGCCTCTGTCCTGGCCAGAACCCACCAGCCCCTACAAATCATGTTTACAGCACACAGACCTCCTCCTCCAAGGTTCCCCAAGCCCAGATCCAATCCATCATCACTAACAAAGCCTCAGAGCTCCTGCTCTCTGGGACACATGTAGAATAATCTCCACTGGGAAGGGGGAAAAAGGACACAGAAAGGAATAAAATTTACTGGCTGGGTTGTACCAGGCATGAGCCCAGGAGTCCTGGCCTACCCTTGAGGCTTTACTTATAAAATGATTTTGGCTGAGCATTTTTTAAAAACCCAAATAGCACTGGAGGAAGCCATTGTATGGACATAGTTGTTGTAACATAAATTTATTTGCCTTGCCATACTGAAATAGTCGGACTTGTTGAAAGCCCTTTACACAGGTACATGCTGTGTACACATGGGGAAACGCTGTATCACATTACCTGTGCACACTGGGAAGGGTTGTATCCCATTACCTCCTCCAAGACAGGTAAAAACAACACATCTTACTAGTGCAGGCAAGCCTCCATTTTCTCTCCTGTGGTTGATGTCACTAAATACCATGAGGATCCCACTGAACATTCAAAGAACATGAATTGGGCCTAAATTACTACAATTTAGGAAATTTAAAAAAAATACATAATAAAAGAGCAAGTCTAGCTGATTGTGATCTCCTTGAGGCTTAAAATAGTGTGCATTTCTAGGAGCACTCCTACTCCAAAACAATAACCAGGGCTGGTAATAGTCAATTTTTGACCTCTCTGGCCTACATCAAGCCAGCCCTTCTCATTTTTCATTTTGGTGCTTCCATCTAAGTCACATAAGTCGATATTTGCTCATTGGATTTCTTACCTCTCTGTGCCGGAGCTGCAAGTTCTGACCTTCATAATATAAGTTGTATGTCTTCAAATGCAACATCAGTTCATTTCTGGAAGCATAAAAGAAAGGAGAGAAAGATGCTGAGGAAAGATGATACTATGTACTTGTGAAATCCATCCCTTTGGCATCCAAGCACCTGAAATGGTAACCCTCAGGCAACCAAACCAAAGACAGTTAAGTGAAGGGAAGCCAAGGAGTTACCTTCCAGAGTCTGGCTGAATTAAAGCCAACCAGGATCCCCAGGCATGCCCCGACAACTCTGCCATTACACAAGTTAGCTATGACAAAAGCTACTCAACAAATGAACCATCCAGTGCATTGTGGAAGGAGCTGCCACTAGTCCTCTTTGGCCAAGTTCAAGCTCCCTCCCTTCTCCAGACTCAGGGGGCGCATCTGCATTTAGAAAAATGTCAGGGCAGGAGTTACACCTATGGTCACCATTTCAAGCTTTTTTTTGCAACCACAAGGAATAGAAACAGATTCCCTTTTTTATATAAAAGCTGAGCATCTCATGTGACCATGGGCTTTGAGAGCCAGGATGCTATACAACCTCCAGCATAAACCCAGCCACGGCCAGAGCTTCCATTTAGAGACTTAGGACAATGAGATGAGTGGTCAGTCGTTCCCTGCCCCAGAGTTGCTTCCTTAAGCCAACTCTTTGGATCAGCTCTTTGTGAATGTGTGTCAAATTTCAATCTTTTTTGGCTCCTTGCCCTTACAAAAAAACCCCAGCCGTTTCTTTTTCTCAGGTTTTTTGTCTTGCAAAATGATGCTGCATTTCACAGTTTATCTGCGTTTAATTAAAAAATGATAATGCTCCCCTCTTCTGCCCCCTCACAAACGAGTTGTCTGCTGGACCCCAAACAGAAGTCTTTCCCCCCCCCCCCCAAGTTTTCCAGTACAGTCAGCAAGCTAGTCAGTTAGGCTCTGGACAGCTCTAACACAGCGCCCTGATCACAAGATTGACACATCTTCCTTTTGCTCTCTGTTTCAGACAAATAATTCATGGCATATCTGTATGACATCAGCTGTGCATCTATAGCAGCAGAGGCACCGATACCAAGAGAAGCAGAATCTCTTCCTCCGATTCCAAGGTATTCCTCTGACCCTGTCCATCCCTTCTCATTCTCAGCAGCCTTTCAAAAACAGTGTACCAGAAGTATCAATACCCAAGCCTGAGAGAGAGAATCATAGAAAATCAGGGTTGGAAGGGGCCTCAGGCCATCTAGTCCAATGCCCTGCTCAAAGCAGGATCAGCCCCAACTAGATCATCCCAGCCAAAGCTTCATCTAGCTGGGTCTTGAAAAGCTCTGAAGATGGAGATTCCACCACCACCTTTGGAGGTTTTCAAGATGATCCAGATAGGCAAAGCTTTCGCACTGGTTTAAGTAGTGAGCAGCTTCCAAACCCTTTGGTGATCGATGCCATAAATGCATCTTTATTGCTTCTTCTGGTCCAGAGTATGGATTACTTTACTAAAAGCACCAGGACCTGCTTTCCAATATTATTCCCAAAGGAGTGTTGCCTGGGGCTTGCAACAGGCCCTTCCTCTACTGACCAAAGAGCTATAACCATAATAAAAACAGGCAGACCTTGAGGCAGTAGGTTTCAAGGCTGCAAGATAGAAGAAATACACAGTCACTTGACTTGGTGCTCAAGCAAATAAAGCAGCCCCCATCACAACAAGTTGAGCCCTGTCTGTTCACTGTTCCTGTCACTGATCTAAGAGCTTTCATCCAAGTTCAAAATATGCCACAGCTGTAGTTACTCCAGGAAAAATAAGATGGCCAAGCTGAGGTAGTGAGTGTACAAATCTCCAGGTGATTTGGGCTGTTTTATGGCAATGTCAAGCAGTCATTAACCCTGTTTAATTGTCTGACTAGATTTAAGGCTGCTTTGGCTTTATCAGACTGGTGCATTTGCTGTTGGGGTGAAAAGAAAAAAAAAATCTCAGGTGCGTTATTTTAGTGCCTTTCAAGGCATGTTTAAAGCCTGGGAATACTTTTGCTTCCTTGCAGACATCAGAGCTGGTCGAGAATGCTTTGACAATGTAAGGATGTGTCTGCAAAACCATAGGCATCTTTTCCTTAATTTCAATTGTTCAATACTTTCTCAGCGAATGAATATCATCAGCCCCACACCTCTTCTATGGATTTTTCCACGCTTTGCATTACCACTTGCTAGATATATCACCACCCTCTACCTCTGTCCCCGGCCTCCAGACCTTTGTGCAACTGAGTCTGCCCCTCCCCCAGCATCCCCAGGGAGCTTTGCAAATAAATCACCGGGACAAACGCTGAAAATAGTTCTGCGCTGAAGCCACAGCAAAAATCTTACATGGAAATGTATCTGTCTTTTCCGCAGGGGACAAGGGGATCCATCCTCACGCTCTTCTTTCATGAGGAGCAGAGATCTGAATTGTTTAGGGAGAAAAGGAAACAAGAGAAAGGTGCATTAGTGACTCTATTATTTCTCTCTTATTGCTTGCTGACTGGGCCTGACCCAGGGCTCACAGATGCCAGTGCTCCAACTCCCATCGGTATGAAAGAGCTTAGATTCACCTCACCACAAAGTCAGTCAATGACAGGGAGGGCAACATAGAAAGGAAAGGATTTAAAGCTAAAATATGCGCAGGGAGGAAAAAAAAGCAGACAATGGGAACCACGGATAGATTGTCATCTGACCCCAGCAGTCTTTCCTGCCCAAGTGCAGAGGGGCTGGACCCAATGATCTTATAAGGTCCCTTCCATCCACTAACATCTATGAATCCTGGGAAGCTCCCACTGAAAGGTGAGGTCAGTGACTTCCCTTCCTAGGGCCAAATTTGGGACTAGTGATCTAAAATCTGTCCAGGCTTTCCTGGACTCCCACAATTCCTGGTGATCTTCCAGGCCAGAAATATCAGAGACACGTCTCTGAAAGTGTTTCAGTATGTCCACTCTTTGGACTCCCACAGGAAGGGAGTGGAGGACAGGAGGCCTGTTTATCGCTCAGCTCCCATCCCGCTTCGATTCAGTCTGAGCCAGTCCTCCCCCACTCCCCCTTGCAACTCCACTGGCCCCCGTCACCTCTCCCTATTAGGTCCCTTGCTCCACTGTCTGGAGAACGGCTGTGACGGACATTGCAACTCTCCACTGAGCTTGGCTGAGCTTCTGAAGGTGGCAGAAACTCAATGCAACCGAAATGCACACAAAGGTGCAGAGAGAGGAGACCAAATGGACTGTGCTTTTCAGCTCCACTGCATGCAGAAAAAAGGTTTGGGGTTTTGCAGGAGGGGAAAGAGAGAGGGAAATAAGCAGGGAAAACAATAAACAGCTGGCTTAAAAATAAATACAAGGACAGTTGGGCCTGCACAAGCTGTGCTCCTCTGGCAGCTTGCCAGTAGCCAGAGGTGCCATGCATTTTCATAAGTATCGACAATAGACACCCCTGGCCACAATATTTGCTCCTAATTAAATCAGCCTTGATCAATAAGGAAAGGGTTGGTTTGAACTGACCAGCTGAGTTACATTGTGCGTTTACTGAACGGCATGCAAAATATTCACAAAGGACAACTGAACCCCTCCGCGTTTCAGGGTCCGGCATATTGTTCTAGTGTCGTGAGAACCAACCGCTTCCCATACACAAAAGGCCAACTGCCATTTTACAGGCCCATCCTTGCTTAAGAAATTCACTCAGCCTCATTTCGACCCCCCAGCCCTCCCAAACCAAAAACCTCTCGACATTTTCTCCACTTGCAAGTGCAGGCAGCCCTTGCAAGGAAAGTTGATTCCATTTTTACTTTGAGGCCACCAACTTTCTGCAGTTCTGTGAATTTTGTCATGGAGACAGACAATTTGCTAAATTTCTCTCTCATGAAAACATGCCCAAACCACCCCCCACCCCCCCACAAATAAAAAAACCCAAAAACCCTAAACATTTGACCTTGGAAGTGACCTAGAATTCAACTTTATTTCTGAGAGGCGTGAAATTCAGCTAGCTTGAGACAGTACATCAAATGCCCATAAGCACACAGGTGCTTAAGAAAATATCATGCATGAGACACCCCAGGAATCCCACTTCAAAATTGTTTAACACTAATGAGAAATGATTAGATTGCTTATAACGATGTTAGCTCTTCCGGTCACATTTCTTCCTTCCCTGTTTTGGAAACATGCAGCACAAAGGAACCCGTACATGTTGCTGCAATACAAATCAGAGTATTGCTGCAATACGCAAGTGCTTAAATAGGAGTTTCCATGCAAATATATATATATATATTCCACTATTACATGCAACATGCAAATGTAGGCGCACACATTTATTCGTGCCTTCAGGAAATTACTCAGCCATCTTCACTGCCCTGCAGTTCCAGGAAAAGGACCATCATGGGCCACAATTTAAGAAATAATACAGGATCCAATCTTGTAGCTCAGTACCAGAATCATCATAAGCCGAAATAAAAATAAAATAACATTCTGTTTCATGCTTCTGAAGCCAAGAGGGGTCCAAACACAAAGGCCTGTATTTAAGCACAGGCATAAGCAAGCATGAGATACAAGCCAATAAAGGGCAGGAAATTCAACGCGGCAACTAAACAGTGCGTTTATAGGGCACGGGCTGAAAAAAGCAGAACAGAAGCTTAATGATGATTAGCTCAACTTGCAACAGAAAGGCTGACTTTGCTTTGCATTTCTTAGTATATATGCCACTGAGTTTCACAATCACCTCCAAGATGGTGAAGTAGCTGAGGACACACTGAATGGACCAGCATTCGGTTGTGGGGAGAGGTTCACTTAAGAAAATGAATGTTTTTTTTAATTAGAGGCTCAAAACACATCATCATTCACCTGGAGCGCAAAACTGATCTTTAGCCTGCCCTGCTACTAACTCAGTGCACTTCTCTGTGTTTCAACCGAAGCGCCTACAGGCCCCATCGGAGATCAAGCCACACAGTAAACGCAGCGCACCCACACCTACTATGAGTCAGCCCTTGTCCCAAAAAACTTGTACATTGCTGGGGAAAAGCAGTACTATCCTCAAGTTGCAGACGTGAAGTTTAGGTCCCAGAAGATTACGGTCACACAGGAAATCTGTGGCAGAGCCAGGAACTGACTGCAGATTCCCCTTGAGGTATGTCTACATACATCAGTGACTTCACTATGCAGGCATACTCAAACTGGTTTCAGTTAGCTAAGCCAGGTACCCAGAACAGGCTAGCCCAGGAGTGGGCCAAATACAGCGCGTGGGCTGGATGCAGCCCACCACGTGATTCCATCCAGCCCGCAGTGGGTCGTCCTGCATGCAGGGCACGCTCGGCCAGGCCGATGGGATGGGATGGAGCTGTGGGCGAGCAGGGAGTGGCACCCAGGAGTGGGACAGGCAGGTGGGAGCCAGGGTTGGGATTTCAGGGCAATGACAGCATGGGGCCTGGAGCAGAGCCATGATCTGCTGCCTGCACATCCCTGCAACGGGCACCAGTTCCATTCTGCCCTGGGCCCCTGCCCTGCGCAGTCACCACCCTGTGATCCTGGCCCCAACCCTGGCCCCACCTGCCTGTCCCTCTCCCCGATGTAGCTCCCCACCCACCCGCAACCCTGTCCCACCTGCCCAGTCAAGTGTGCCTGCCTGCAGTGGTCCTGGGCCAGTCTCCCTGCCTACTTGCTCCTTCTGGATAGAATACATTGGGATCTCCCCCAGCCACCCTCCATCGCCCCGCCCCCTGGGGTATTAACAGCTATGACAGGGGGCTGAGGCCTGGTCAGCACCCAGCTCCCCCAGCCCTGTGGCCCTCCAGAGCTCTGCACAAGTTTTTAAGTGGCCCTCCAGCCCAACTAATTGCCCACCCCTGGTCTAGCCAGTGCTGCTAGCAATATAAAGTTAGTTTTGAGATAGATAGCAGCTTATGCAGAGGTGCGTGAGCTGTCATAGCAATGCAGATGTACCATTTCAGTTTAAATAGGCAAGACACAGGGAAAACTAGCCCAGAGGGGTAAAGGGATTTCCCATAAATCCTTAGCAGGTCTCCCAACTCCCAGGAACCAAAGCCTGAAATTACATGGCCTTGCAGTGTCTGACTATCCCTGTTATAGTCCTTGGAGCATTTCATACTTCCCTCCTCTCCCTGCCACCACGTGAGATTTGAGTTTCAAAAGGTGCTCATTTTGTTCAGCAGAAATGTGGGAAATGGGGCCAGGGAAACGGGGAATCTGATTGCTGAATACCTTATCATAACAACAGAAACTCAGAAACAGAGAGAAAAACCCTGATTGATCCTGGGCTTCAGGGAAAACCAGAAACAACCCTGCTCTCCCTACTACTGGTACTGAAAAGCTGGATGCGTGTTAAGATAGCCTCAGACCAAAGGCTGCCCATTGCTGACCCCATGACAATAGAGACGTTTTCTTACAAACCAATTTGTCTCCCATCCCCGATCACATGCTAGTTTCTGGTAAAGGCAGTTATACTCGCTCTCACCCCCAGACGCTACTGCAGACTGTCGGTCATTTCTTTGCAATGAGGAGTCAGGAAACCTATCACAGCAGCTGGAAGGAAGAGGAAAGCCACCACCACGAGACCATGAGCAGTGTGTTTTCTGTTGGACAAGGCTGAGATCTGGTGGGGGAGGGATTAGGCTGCAGTCTCAGCTCTGCTACTGACCCCTTTCTTGGGCAAGCATCTTCACTTCTCTGGGCGTTATTAGTTTCTCCAGCTGTAGAGCAGGGATAACACTGATTTTTGTACAAAGATTGTGTAGTCTACAGCTGAACAGAGATTTGAAACTCTTAACTACAAAGTGGACAGCATTACTAATATAGAAACAAGTAATCATACACCCAGGATGGGGTTTTGCAATGTACTTCTACAGAGGATTCTGCCCGAGCACTCAGTGCAGCTGCAGGAGTGAAACCAAACCCAGCTCTTCATGCCCTGCTTGCAAGGGGAAAAGCACAAAACACAGAGAAAAGGTGACAGGAGTAATAGGGCCAGATGGACAGCAGGGGTATCTGAACAGAAGGCTGATAGATGCTCGGTGTGAAGTGGGGAGAGCGGTAAATCCCCCTGCCCAGAGACAGCAAATGAGGAAATTATGTCTCACTTCTGTGCATGAGGGAAGAATCGAGACATGAGAGCACTGCTGGGGGATCTATCCATCTCCCCGACAGAAGCGGCAGCAATTACAGACAGGGGAGGGATGCATGGATGGGTGACTGATCGGTGAGCGAGGAAAGGGTGACAACACAGCATCTGAAACACACAGACCAATGCTGAAGCGCTTACAAATGTTTTGTACGGCCAAGGGCAAAGATTTCCATTGGATGTGTGGGCCAGGGACCTTCCAGCCACTTCAGAATACCACAGTTTGAGCTACACCTTGTTTGCTTGATTTATTGAAAGGAAGGGAGGATAGCCGTGTTATTAACTGAGACTTGAGGAAGAAATCAGCATAAACTGCTTTGTGCTTT